TTGGCAATGCTTACACTACTTCCAAACAGCCCCGTTTCAGATGCTAATAAAGTACGCATTATTTTTCATAAAGCGTCATTATCGATTGAACTCGTATATATGAGTACTAAACACTTAAAAGGCCAAGTTTACCTGAATTTAGGTCAACAGCATAATGTGTTTAAAATCATAAGGGTTTAGTCCTTTATAAGATCTCCCATCTTGAAACTTTGGCATGATTACGATTTGATCTTGATGTTATCATGCCGTAACAGGTTTTTATGGAAACACTTTATTTCGCCTTACGTTTCGGCTCAACGACGTCCTCAGAGGCCTGAAATTGAGTCAATTACCTATCGGGCGCTTATACCATCAAACACCTCTGTCACATCACATATTCGACTCCTCCTCAATGATTGCGGCTGAGTCAAAGCTGATATGATGACTCACCAGTGTTCCACAGAGATTAGCAGATGCTAGGTCACTTTCCAAATATCCACAGATGACAGTAAAAACTGCGGTGCTGAGGACTTGCAACCGCTTAAGTAGTGGTGGACAATCTCGTAACTCACGAGATGATAAGAACGGCCGTAAATAATTCGTTATAGACAATGCAGAAATATGCTCTTCAAACGCCAAGATAGTGCATCTAATATCAAAATCGTCTCCATTGTGGACTTCCTTTCTGTACTTTCCTAACGGACTTATGAGACTACCGTTTTTTACTAGCCAGATGTTCATTTAACGTGCGGAAAGTTATCGACCGGCTTCGCTTATGTACATGACATGGCAATTTACACACTCCAAATGGTAGACTACTCCGCACTTGAAGCAATCTCCCAATTTTCCATTAGGACAAACTACACAGTTTTGCGAGATGCAAGCTCTATTATACAACCTATAGCGGATAAGCTGTTTTTTGATGTTGTGCGCTGGGATCTTCATTAAAACAAAATCATTTTCTAACTGGGCTTGCACTAAACATTGTTTAACTGCGGCAGTCACTTTGTCGGATATGAATAGCAAACATAAGAGAATTCTAGTTTGGATATGGTTGCTTTCATTCATTGGCTTTCGCTTTGGAGGTTTTGATTGCATTGAGTAGCCATTAATACTATGTTAGATGCCCAAACACTGACTGCCGTTCTGCACATGTTACAAATAATCGCGCGTTTCATGGCAGTTAGATGAGCGGATTTGGCGTTTAGAATGATGTTTTTGCAGCTCTCTTTTCGATACCATTTTACGTGTACCGTTCTGTTAGCCAACATTAGTTGAGTGTTGAGATAGGGTAGCCAGCCTTCTCGGTTTCTCTCTTGTAAGTTTAATGTAATGTGATTGTTGATTGAGTATTTTAAAACACTCATCCATTTCGGATTGTATTGACGTGACAATGCAACAGTCATCGATATACCGGCAGTACATTAAGGGACGTCGAAATAGCACAGGCTGTTCTATTTTGCTCATAAAGC